TATGTTATAAAGGTTGTTAAGTTTAAAGTGACTGTGGAAATTCTGTGTATTACAAAGTTGTATCGACAAAGAATAAACTAGGTTTGATCAAAAAGGGACTTGTATCACTGAAGTTCCTCGGAAAGAAATTATACCGGAAATTAACAAACAAGCAGATACGCAACACCTCAAAATGGCGGGTTATCGCCACTGGCTGAACTTTCTTGAACTGGCTCTCTCCTTTAATTATTTAATTATTTTTTTGACAAAAAAATTCCGCCCCCTCAGGAGCACTGTCCTTGTGAATCGCACCTTTCGCCCCCTGGTCGCTCCAGCCCTGCTTTATATAGTACTTCTTTTGGTGCTAATTAACAAACTCTTTTACTTATATACAGAATGCTTTTTCTTTTAACTTGATTATGGCTGTATCTAATATAATAATGTCTCTGCATATCTTCTGCATAAACTTGATTCTTAACACTCAGCTTTACGAATTTGTTTAGGTGCAATGCATTACAACCCTCCTCCAGCTTTATAGCTTATGATCTCTGAAGCTCGTTTGGCTCTTAACAAACAGCAGTTGTTTGGCCAAAATGGCCTTAAAATTTTACAGTGTACATATAAGAGTTGCTTATTAATAACTCCTCGCCCCTCAGTGGCACAGCGGTATGTCTGCGGACATACAACGCTAGAATCTGGGTTTCGATACCCGTGGTGGGCAGAGCACAGATAGCCCATTGTGTAGCTTTGTGCTTAACTACAAAACAAATAACTACTCTTACTTGGAATTCCACAAGTGAAACCCTGTCCTTGTCCTGGCCCTATGACATAGAAAGAAATTCTAACTGTTGTTTTCAAGGACTCTTTCTTTTTTTTCTTTTTTACTGAAACCTTGTTTTTGTTTCTCCTTCTTGGCTCATTCTAAATATTCTTGTTGACTTCTCACATTTTGCCTACATCGGTACCTTTAAAAATTAATGTAAATATTTACACATATGACCCACTTGCTGGTAGAATTGCTTGTGTTACCTATATTCAACCTTTGAAATTATTCCAGTCTTCCTATCCATTTCTGGAATTTTTATAGCTGTGATAGTTTGCACTTTTCTGGTGTTCTCTTGAAAACGTTGGTACCTCCTTTACACATATTATTTCCTCTGATTGTTTGAGCGGTCTTTCAGCTTTAACCTTAAAAATTAATAATATTCATTTTGGTTTGCCATGGAAGTGCCATTTGCTTCCCTCTCATCCAGTTCGTTCTGACATTCCAATTAATTATGATTGAATACTAATATTCCTGACAATGAAATAGTTGATAAAGCTGATGAAATTGCTTTGTCTTGTGAATCACCCTTCTCTGACTTACCTGTAATACGTTTTCTTTTTGCCATACTCTATTAAACATTAGAATTACTTCTTCATGATCAGGTGCATATTGGCCCACCGAGACACCGAGCTATTGCCCGGTGGGCTACTGCAGCTGACGCATTCTTAGAAACTGATTTTAAATTTTAATTGTTTAGCCAGTATGGAGCATGTGATATTACCAAGGCTGGTCATGTAATGCTAATCCGCCTCTGTCCATGATCCCAGTCTTAAAGAGCCTCTTCAGTAGGAAGCTTTGTAACTTGATTTTTTTTTGTTCTTTCGACCACATCAAAGACTAGAATGCATGATGTTGTTTCGTCTCAATTGAAATTAGAGACTTGCAGACGTAGCTACACTCTGCACAAGATTGGATAAGTACATTGTTCATTTTGTAATACTGTGTTAAAAACAAATGCTGGTTCTCAGTATTGGAACTTATTTGATCTGATTTTCGTTCAACCTGCGTGCCTTCAATCGTACTGACAGAAATCAGACAAGTCACGACTCAAGAATCTAAACAATAATTTAATATTCGTCAAATGCACTAATAAATGATTTAATCACATTAGTTCGTGATTTTGATTTATAGATCTTTATCACCGCTAATAACTAAAAATACTTTAGATGTTTCGATAATATCTTACATATGATCACACTTATCTGTTATTTTTCATCAGAATATGTGGTTATTTATTTGTTTGTGAATTTATTTTATTTTGATTAGCTACTCCTACTGCACCAGACTAGTTTCACTGAATTCACAGCTCACCATTACTATATGGGATCTACTTTGTTTATTTGCTTCATTCTTATCTATTTATTTGTGAATTTATTTTATTTTGATTAGCTACTCCTACTGCAGCAGACTAGTTTCACTGAATTCACAGCTCACCATTACTATATGGAATCTACTTTGTTTATTTGCTTCATTCTTCCATTCAGAACTCGTGATTTGTGAATTCATCAAAATAATCTTGCAACTGAAGTAGAGAATCAAAGAATAGATTAGGCCTCTACGTCGTATTTTCTTCACCGAAATTTACGTTTCAGTGAGTAAAAGAAATTCATAGACAATGTTGGCAATAAGGTCACATAGAGAAGCTATTTAGCAGTTTCGATGTCAGTCGTTATTAAAACCAACGCAAAGCCTCATCTTGCTATATGATTTATATTATTGTGTGGTCTTTTCAGGTAAAACCGATTTTATGGCGAGTAGCAGACAGGCAAACCCGCAATAACAGCATATTCTAGCACAAAATAAGGGAATATGTCTGTAGTACATAATTTAACTGAGTCCTTTTGGTGTACATGAATAAAATAATGAGGTTGAACAAAATCTATGAAAATAAAAACAGTCTTTATTACCTGACAGACTAAAAGAAAACAAAGTGTACTAATTCGATGACGAGGTAACCCACTTTGAGACTAATAATGGCTGGAGACGGCTTGAATGGGTAAT